ACAACCATGATCTTGTATCACCTGAGTGTGCCCACATGTTGCCGTCACAAAGAAAGATATCCGCTACCCAAGCAATTTAGTTAGATTTGGCGGCACAATCTGGTCTTCGTTTGGGCCAGTCTTTTGAACTCATGGGTAGGGAAGCTGGTGGAAGACAATGTATTGGGTTTACGAAATTAGATCAAAAAACTTATTTGAGAACCAAAAGACAACAAAGTTTAGCATATGGGGAAGTAGGCAATGTGTTGCAATACTTTAAAGAAAAATCTTTGTAGAATCCTTCATTCTTCTATGCTGTTTAATTAGATAATGAGGAGCAAATAACGAATATGTTTTGGGCTGATGCACAAATGATCATGGATTATGCCCAATTTGGTGATGTTGTCACATTTGATACGACTTACAAGTTAAACAAAGAACATAGACCGTTCGCATCTTTTGTGGGATTCAACCATCACAGGGAAACAGTTATATTTGGTGCAGCATTGTTGTATGATGAGACCGTCGAATCGTTTGTATGGTTGTTTGAAAATTTTCTAGAGGTTAGGTCAAGAAAGGCACCAAAAACTTTGTTCATCGATCAAGATGCTGGAATGGCTAAAGCCATACCCATCGTTATGCCTGACACAAGTCACCGATTGTGTACTTGGCATTTGATGCAAAATGCATTAAAACATGTTAACTGTTTGTTCCAAGATAAGGGGGTGAAGGGTGTACTAAATAAATTTTTCTTTCACATTGAAGATACAAATCAATGGAAATTAGAGTGGGCGGAAATGCTTGATAAATATGATGTGCATGAAAACCATTGGTTGAAATTGACTTTTGCGGTGAAAGAAAAATGGGGATGGCCTTATGTTAGATCAACATGGGCTGCGGGAATGAGTACCACACAACTTAGTGAATCTTTTAATGCTTTTTTGAAGGATTACATTCGTTCTGATTTCAACTTAAATGAATTCTTCATGCATTTCGAAAGGGTACTTTACGAGAAGCGATACAAGGAGTTAGAAGCGGGCTATGCTTTGTGCCAAAGGTTGCCAAAGGTGAAAGCAACAATAAGAATGTTAATTCAAATGGGTAACGTCTACACAAAAAAGATCTTTGAGGAATTTCAAAATAAGTACTTTCAATCCATTGAATCGGACATAGAAGCAATTGAATATGGCGAGGCTAGTACCATTTACACAGTTGTTGATGTTGGTAACAAACATGCAAGGAAAGTGAAGTTGGAGAGGGATGGCTCTTTGGGTTGTAATTGTACAAAGTTTGAAAGGGAATGAATCTTGTGTTCTCACTCATTGAAGGTCATTAGAGACATATTGAAGATGAAAAAGGTTCCTCCACAATACATTCTGAAGAGTTGGACCAAACAAGCAAGAGCCGAAACTGTGCAGCACATTAAGGAAAATGGCATTCAAGTAGATGTGAAATTCCAACAAGCTTCGCGGTATAAGACATTGATGACTGCATTTAGAGTAGTAGCAAGTAGAGCTGCTGAAACTGAAGAAACATATGATTTTTGTATTGCACACCTTGCTACATTAGGTGCAGATGTTTAAGGCAAGTTAAGTGCTCATTTTGGTGTTGGAAATGAAGTAAGTAATGATGATGATACCCAAAGCTTTGAAGTGGAATGCCATTTAGAGCAGCAGCAAGTAGAGCTTCTGAAACTGAAGAAACATATGATTTTTGTATTGCACACCTTGCTACATTAGGTGCAGATGTTAAAGGCAAGTTAAGTGCTCATTTTGGTGTTGGAAATGAAGTAAGTAATGATGATGATACCCAAAGCTTTGAAGTGGAATGCGAAGATGTAAATCATGTTGTGCAACCAAAAGGATTGAAGAAAAAGGTGGCAACTAGTAAGGGCAAAAGGAGGGTCAAAGGTGGATTCGAAGCGGCGTTGGTAGCGAACTCCAAAAAAAAATCCCGTGCTAATAGCTTGGCTTCGTCACAATCTATTGCAAGTTCAACGGCTGCACCTTCTCCATCATCTGTTGGAGGAGATATATATGTTCGCAAACATGTTCCTCCGCTTCAACCTCTTCCTTCCCTTCATTCTCTTCCTCGATCTTTGCCCATGGGTGGTAATTACATTCCTCCGCCATTGATGTATCCCACATATCATGTAAGTCTTACTTTAACATTGTATTTTTTTTGTGGATATAATATGTGACTAAAACCATAACTGAAAATATATATGACATTCTTGTAGGCGAACAATTTGCGGGAGATGTATGTGGTGCCAAATTATTTGCCAACTCAATCAACATTCCAGTCACTACTACAAGGTTCATGTGGATATGACATTGGGTTTCGATATTCTCAAGAATCAACTACTCCAATGTGTAGTGAGGTTCGTCCTTGATGTATTTTTAGTTTATAGTGGCTGAAAATTCTATGATATCATGTATTTATAGTTGCTTAAAAATTGTCTTTTTTTTTAAGGCTATGGACAACCATCAACAAAACCAAACTGATGCTGAAATTGGGCTGCAACGTGAAGACATGGCCTCTGAAATTGTGAAGCAAATTGTTGCTAGAAAGTGATGTTAAAGTACCAATGTGTCAATTTTTAAGGACCAATGTATTAATTTAGATGTTAAAGTTGTACTGGTTGATGTTCAGTTACAGTTGATTTTAATTTATATGTTAAACCCAAGTGAACTGATTCTGTTATTGTTAATATCCTTTTTTAATTTATGTGTTGGTTGGTTGATGTTTATGTTCATGTTCATGTTGAACATGTTATTGAACTGGTTCTATGTTCATGTTCTGTGTTGAACATGTTATTGAACTGGTTCTATGTTCATGTTCATTTAAAACTGTTTCTGTGTTGAACATGTTATTGAACATGTTCATTTAAAACTGGTTCATGTTATTGATAAGTCATGCTGTGTTGAACACTGCTTCTAAAACTGGTTCTGAAATTAATCTGATGTTAAAACTGGATCTGCAATGGATCTGAAATTGTGATGTTCTGAAATGGATCTGCATGTTCTGAAATTGATCTGCATGTTCTGAAATTGGTTTTGATGTTCTGAAACTGGTATGCTTCAGATCTGCATTTTATTTGACAGTAGCATCCTTTTCATCATCACAGTCCATAAAAGCATCCTTTAGATTGAGCTTTGGTTTTTGTAGCAACATGCTCAGCAACATCACAGTCCAATGCTTCAAGGAGGAGAAGGGTATCCTGATCTGTCCACATAAATCATTATCTGCCTGTGCAACAAGAACAGAATCTGCCTGTGCAACATAACATTCCATAACATTCCATCATTCATCATCACAAAATCTGCTGGTTATCATGTATTATAGTTACATAACATAACATTCCATCATTCATTCCAACATTCCAAAATTCCATCATTCATTCCATAACAGATAAGAAGTTTAATGTTCCCCAAAATTCATTCCATAATAGATAATGGATAACAAGTCGGAGTACATAAAATCCAAAAGGATACAAACTTCCATTAAGTTTCCCAAAAATACAATAAAGTTGAAAAGTTACATCATAAAGTACAAAATGATACAAAATACAATGAAGTACACCATCTTTTTCATATTATTTTCCATCCTTTGCAGCCTTCGACCATAGTCATTTTCCATGTCATGAAGCCTCATCCTTACATCGTTCAAGTCTTCTATTGTTATACCAGCAGCAGCTGTACTGTTGGAACGGATTCTGGATGTAACGTCTTCATCATCTTCAGACACGAACTTGAAGTAATTGCAATGATGAGTGGGAGGGTTACTCTGCAATGCATGCGAATACATTAGTTCAATAAGACAAATATTAATGTGTGTAATAAAGGAAAAAAATAGCTAGAATTACCAACTTACATATTTCGATGGGCAAACAAAGTACAAACGCCCTTCATTTCCATTCTCGTTGGTTCTTACAATATATATAGCAGTTGTTCTTCCACAATTGCACAGCCTCGGTACCAATCTCATGTCGCTAATGTTAGAAGAAGAAGCCATTTTTTAAATCTGCATACATGAGGAGAAGGCTAATGAGAGTTGGTGCTAATGGAAGTTGGTGCTAATGGAAGTTGGTTCTAATAATATGTCCCATAGGAATAACTTGAAGACATTGTTACAGATGCAAACTGGTTCTGATGTTAACAGATGCAAACATCGTTATTAACAGATGCAATTGTCCAACATATATCTCACATCTTTACCCTAATCATCTCCAATAAGCATAGCTACAGTGAGGGAAGTAAAAGAGGTCCTAAATAAAATGCCACCAACAGTGAGTTTCAACAGAGTTTTACACTTTGTATACCACATATACCACAGGTATCTAGTTAATTCCAACTATTTTGTAGGAAATTCTCCTATTCCAGTAATAGAGGGGCTGGACTCATGTACCTACTATTACTAATATTTGTCCAATCCCATTGTTCCAGTACATTACAATCTTGGTAACATGGACTTCAAAATTTGTGAACATGTTGGATACTCAACTTTTAAGTGTGAGATATGAGTTATGCCTAGTTGGACAAGCACTCAACAAGTATGTACCAGTACTCTTGATTACTATATAACCATGCATTTAATACATAAAATGCTTAATTTTAGTTTGTAAATGTGAATTTACCATTGAGAAAGTAAAAGAAGCATTTAAGAAATATGAACTCTAGCTGTGTTATCTTGGACATGAGAATTAGATGAAATTTGAGACTTGGATACACAAATGAGTCTATGTAACACAGATAAAATGTTCTTGTTTTATCAGTACTAGTTGGATGATACATTATTTTGAAATATAGTATACTCCATCAGATTTTGAGCTGATTTTTGAAATAAAGTTGTCTTCTACTAGTTTCTTACAATTTTCCCTCTTTTTTTTTTTCCCCCTGCTTTCTGCCTACTGTGTAGGTATGCATTTGTAAAAATGTATGGGTCAGAAAATTCTCTAGATCACAAAAGAAACAGCAAATCGCATTAGTCCTACACAGTAATTGCAAGGAAAGACCTTTAAATTCAAACTCAGAACAACTAAATTTTCAACAACAACAAAGAATCAGATTCATATTTCAGAACTGTGGGTTGGTTACATTCATATTACATAACATCAGAACTGTGGGTTCATCTTTACCCTCATCATCTCCAAAAAATATTACCAAATCATCCTCAAATTGAAAAAAAATTCAACAAGGAAGTTTGCTTATCTGTGGATATTGTTGTTATACATATCTGTTGTAGAATGTGGATATAGCTTGTATGCTTATCTGTGGATATTGTTGTTATACATATCTGTTGGGAATGTGGATATAGTTTTTATGCTTATCTGAATGTGAGATATAGTTTTTATACATATCTGTGGAAATGATGATAGAGCTAGTATGCTTATCTGTTGTTAAAGGGAAAATGAAAAGTAATTGGGACTTGTAGGTCGTTGACATAAATATGTAATTTATGTGCTTGTATCAGTGTTGACCAACTATCAATTGCTAATGTTTTAGTCATTGTCCATGGTTGGTTTAGTGTATTTCTACTGGGCTGTGGCTCACCCTATATGGGAATATCATTTTCAGGTACAGGAAGCATGCCACCTCCAAGGACATAGCTGGGAGGCTAGTGACGGGCATAGTTTTGTCGTTTTACTTTTGATGTATTACATGTAATTTCAAGCCAAGGGCTTAATGTGTAAACGAGTTAGAACTCTTTGTTGTAACCAAGTGTTAACTTGGAAAGCTGTAAGCCCGTAGGGCATTTTGTTATGAGATTAACATGTAATACTTATGTAACGGAATTCTAATGTATAAAAGAATGTGGTTAGTTTATCTATCAACGCTTGTCTTATTTGTTGGGTTTAATGTTATTATTTTGAGGGCGTTACAGTCAGTGTAATTTACCCTCCTTTTTTTATCATACAATTCACGACTTGCATTGTGTGTCATGAAAAGATAATAATTTTAACGGCACACAATGTGTGCATCATAAAAAGTGTAATACTTTTAACTATGGGCATTGTGTGCGCCGTGAAAAATATTTTTACTTTTCACAACTAGCGTATGTGCATCGTGTATAATTAATGTATTAACGACACACCATATGCGCGTCATAGAAAGTTTTATTATTTACGGCATACATTGCAAGCCGTAAAAAAATCAGCGTTATTACCATTCACGGCCTACGCAATAGACATGCCGTGGTTGGAAAAGTATTTACGACGTGCAAAAAAAGCAAGTCGTAAAAGTGAGAAACTACGGTGTGCATTTATTGTATGTCGTTGATGTGGTGTCGTAAAAAGTCAGTTTTGTTGTAGTGTATATGGAGAAGATAGTTATTCACAAGGTGTTAACATCTCAACTGCACCAGTTCGTAAGCAAGTGCAACGGAAAAAGACAAAAAAAGATAATATATGTAATTACATAAAACTTGTAACAATGTACAAAATATACTTTAATAGTTGTTCGACCTCGTTTTAAATATTTCATATATCCATTGGTGTATATTTGTGATGTAGGTCTGTATGACGCAGTCAACAAATTGTATCTCTTACTTCGAACAATTTCCAAAGAAGTTGAGACCATATATT